ACTTGGTGGTCCAAAATCGATAAAAGTAAACTTCGGCCGCCACCCGGGCAGAATTAAAAATTTCCTACCAAATGAAAATGGTTAAAATGTGCTCCCGTACGCTCATATGACCTTAAGCAGTTGCGAGCGTCGTAAAACACTTACAAAAAGAAAAACAAAAACAAAAACCCAACAAACCAAATGTTAAGGGCAGACAACTGTCGGACTCACCTCCCACTTTTCCACTACTCTAAGGACACAAGGACAAACACAGGGGCGACAACTGTTGACCTCACCTCCCACCACGCCGTAGGTCAGAATGAGGACAGTGACGTTTGGGCTGAAGGCACTGACCATGAACGCTCCTCCGGCCACCACACTGCCCACGATGATCACCAGGCGGCATCCGAACCTGTTGGTCAAGGCGCTGACCAGTGGGCCTGGGGACGGGTCAAAGTTCAGATTCTGTTGGGTTTTTTTTACTTTTGAAGGGCGTAGTGGACACACAGCTCGTATGTCAAACTGCAGGCTACGGGGCTATATTGTGGCAAATTTTGAACAATCAAACGCGTCAGAAACACGATACAAATTTGCATCGTTCATAAATTTGCATATTTCATAGTTTAAAGTTTCACCTAGCGAAAATTAAATGAAAAAAATCCATAGGAATAATGAGGCTACGTTTTCTTCCAGCACCCCAAAAACTTACATTTTTGTGCCTTTTATCAACTTTTTTCGTAAAAACCGCACAGAAATATGATTTTAAACGATCCTTAAAGGCATTGAAACAAAGTAAAAATTGATAAAAATTGCAAAACCAGTGGACAAATTGTAGTGTGTTCCATTTCATTATTTTGGCACACGCCTGACCTGAATTCACTATGTTGCCTCTCATTTACTTTTTCTACAGCACAAATCCACGACTTTTCAAAAGTAAGGGCGTTCAAATTCAACTTCTGTTTTTACCCAACAACCACGAGGGAGATGCCGACAAGCAGAGACATCAGTCTGCCCCATACCTTTACTACCGATGTTAATATCACAAATCTATGACTAATAACCCCTCAAAATAAGGGAGTTCAAAGTTCAAGTTCTATTTTTACCCACCAACCATAAGGTAGATGCCGACTTGCATGGAGGAGGCCAGGGCGATGGTGCTCTTAGGTGCCTGGAAGGCGCGCTGAAGCTCTCCCAGGAACAGGCCGAAAGTATACGTCACGCCGTCCACTATCAGACTGGCCATCAGGGCCGATACCACCACCACCCAGCCCCAGCTGTGGCCGGCGGGAGGTGTGGGAGGGTGG